CACCCCGCTCGTGTAATGAACTTCCCTTATGAAATCTGCTGCGAGGAGCTTTTTGACCTCCTCGTCGATCGCCCTCCAGCGCTCTGGGGCTAAGTTGCGTTTCTTCTGTCTAATGGGTCTGACTATAGGGTTAGTGTTAAGTTTGTGAGTTATAAGGCCAGGGTCAATAGCGGGCATATCGGCCGCGGACCATGCAAAAATATCTAAATTTTGAAGTAAGAAACTCACCAGTTCGGCTCGTAGAGGCTCCTTGACGGAAGCACCGATCTGTATTGTCCGAGCTGGATCCGTAGCCGAAGTCGGAATTGCGACTGTTTCCTCTATGGGTGAAGCTCGTTCCTCGCCCTGCTCCGTTGGCCGCTCCAGCTCGAGGTCGTTGGTCGCCTTGGTTTTTCCCTTTAGGGCGGCAACATAACACTTGTGGGACTCAAGCTGGTCGCCCCACGCTACCTCCACACCGAAGTCTGTAGGGAACTTCATTGCCAGATAGTAGGTGGAGACCACTGCCCGCAGAATATGTGTAAATGGCCATCCTATTGGCATTATATTGGGAGGGGGTCGCGACCACCAAGAAATCGTGGTTGAGTCTGACCGCACAAGGCCATGTGCCGACTTCCACAGGTACTGTTATCTTTCCGAGGGGCCTAACTTCCTCTCTGGTGAAGCCTACCAGGGGAGTGTTTGAGGGCTTCAGCTCGCTTCTCTGCAGCTGTAGCTGGTCAAATGCCGACTTGAAGAGGATGTCTGCCGAACTACTTGAATCCACAAGTACGCGCCTGACTTCGAAGTCGCTGATCCTTAGTTTTATGACGCGTCATTGTGGGGGTAGTGGACCCCTCACGCATCGTCTTCCGTGAAGAAGATTGGTTCTTTTGTCTTCGGCCTCTTTGGAGGGTTCTGTCCTTCTCGGGCTGCCTCACGAACTGACGTCCGGGCTACTGCCGAAGTACACCCTGCTACCGAAGCACACCCTGCTACCACTGAACCTACCACTATTACATGGATGGTTCCCCGAATTGGCCTCTCTTTCGGAAGCTGTTGTTGCAACGCTTCGGCCGGTCTGCTACTGGACTTGGGGGCATCCTTTCTGTGCTCCCCTTGCCGACCAGCCTTATCGTTATTATTATTATTATGCTGTACAAAATTTCTCAAGTATCCGTGACGGATGAGTCCCTCTATCTCGTCCCGGAGATTATTACACTGCTCGGTACTATGACCGTGATCTCTATGAAAACTACAGTACATATTTTTATTTCTCTTGCTTGGATTCCCCTTCAGGCGAGGTGGCCACTTCACGTATGGGGCGTCTTTGATCGTCATCAAGATCTCGGTCCACCTCGTGTTTAACGGCGTGTAATCCGTCCAAACTACTAAGGGAGCTCAGGACGGCTGGCTCGGCTTCGCCTCCCGGGCCAGGTTTCTTCTGTCACCTAGGTTGGAGGGCTCACCTTCTCTTTTCCTTTTCTCTACCCTGCCTTCGGTCCTTTGGTTTATCTCTTCCTCTGTTCTCATGAACTTGTCCGCGAGTTTGAGGAATTCGGCCACGGTCGCGGGCTGGTTGGCTACCATGTGCCATTTAAACTCCTTGTGCGTTACTCCTCTCTTGGCCGCCGCGAGTTGTACCGCGGGGTCTAATCGCGGTATCTGCAAGCACGCTTCATTGAACCGCTTGATGTAGCTCCGGATGGATTCTCCTTCTCTCTGGACTACTCCGAAGATGTTTTCCTCAGTTCTGGGGCATCGCTTGCTGGTAGCAAAGTGTGCTGTGAAGACCTGCACGAACTGGGTTCAGCTTCTTATTGACCCTGGGGCTAGGTTCCTGTACCAGGTGCGGGCCACCCCCTGAAGGTGGTGGTGAAGGCCACGTACATGCATGATTCACTGGCCCTAGCGAGGTGCATTTGGGATTGGAAAGCATCGACGTGGTCGTTGGGGTCAAAGGACCCATCGTACTTGTCCAAAGGTGGAAGCTTGAAGTCTCTGGGCATGGGGACTGCTAGGAGTTTTGACACGAGGGGGGAAGGAACTGAGAGAATCGGGGCAGCTTTTACCTCGTCCGAGCTCGTCTCTTCCTTACCTCTGAGCTCGGGTAGGACACGGGTGGTAGTTTGGCGACTTCGCTGGTGCCTTCGTTGTTGAGTGGGCCTGGTACTGGCGCTGCTGGCCTCTGTGTTGCTGAGCTCGATGGGCCCGGAATGTTGGTAGTCTGCTGCCAGGGCGCTGAATCGGTTCTCTGTGAGCGGGAACTCGGGCCTGGAGCACTGAGGTGTTGACCTTGCGGGCGAGGTTCCTGACCCGCCTACAAGCTGCGAGGTGGGGGTGATTTTTCTTTCCCTTCGGCCTGGGGATGAGGCCTAGCTATTAGTGGGGTTCTGGGGCTGGGAGGCTTCTCCCTGGTGGGGGCGTCCACCCTAAGGGGAGGCCTTAACCGGCTTCGGAGCAGGGTGCCGAGGTGGAAGCAGTGATTGGTTCAGGGGTAGTTGGGGGAACTACTGCTGGTAGTGCTGTTGAGAGAGGTGGTGTAGTACTTGGTGCTGCTGGAGTTGATGCTGCTGGAATTGTTGCATTTGGGCTTGCATTGCCCGCATGCATTGCATCAGGTCGTCAAACTGGCTCTGGCGGGCCGCCAGGGGGGCAGCAGTTGGTTCAGCAAAAGTTGTTTCGATAGGGAGTGGAAGAGGGATGTTCATGGCAGGAAGGCTTACGGGCGCCACCGTTTGAGGCACATTCAAGCTGGGGATCCCATCCACCGGAAGGGGGATGGTGAACTGTCCGATGCATACCACGGGGGCTTGGAGTTGTTCCCCGGTGGTGTTCGTCTTTGTGCCACGTCCAGGATTGCTGGAAGAAGCCATGAGTGTTGGGATTTTTGGAAGAAGAGGTTGTGAGAGTTTTTTAGAGGGAGGCTTTTAGAAGCGTTCCCACAGACGGCGCCAATTGATGGAGCGCAATCCGGCTGGTCCTTCTTGTCAACGACCTTGCCTCTGAACGGAACTACAGGGAACCTGAAACGGAGAAGATGAGGAAGCTCCGGGGGGAACCCGGTATGGATGCTCCGAAGCTCAAGTTAGAATTCTTCAAAGGCAAGATAAAACCACATGGCACAAAGTTCGCATACCTTGTTCTTGGGAGGTAGGGAGCCTTTTATAATCACCTCGCGCACTCACTTCTAAGCTTCTGTCAGGTCGGGTATGATTATTCCTAAGCTCCTGCCAGTTTGGATGTGATCCCCTCTGGCTGGGTAGAACCGCCACTGCTCTCTTTGTCGGAGCCGTCTCTGTGGCTGGTGACGACAGTGGTAGGTGGCGGCGGCAGGTGGCCGTTGAAGTGCGGCTGTCAAGCGTCAGATCCCAAGTCAGTCGGGTGCACCGCCCTCGGATACGGACATCCTCAGTGTCAGGTATGGTACGTTTGTCCAGTCTAGCATCCTAGAGGCGAAGTGCTGTTGTGGTGAGCGAGGTGAAGTCTTGAGTTCGGATAGGGGCATGTCCCGAACTGCCATTGGGCGGGCCAGTTCGGGTCATTGCTTCGTATGAGGCTTGGGGCCTAAGGGAGAGTTCGGGCTCCTTGTAGGGAGTTCGGGCTCTTTGTAAGGAGCTCGGGCTCCTTGTAGGGAGTTTGGGCTCTTTGTAGGAAGTTCGGGCCCCTCGTCGGGAGTTCGGGCCCCTTGTAGGGAGTTCGGACCCCTTGTAGGGAGTTCGGGCTGCTGGTTCCTCCCTTCGGTGCTCGCGCTTTGGGCACGCTGTTTTGCCGAGCTGTTGCCCTTGCCATGTGTTGAATGATTACGAGGTCAGGCCAAATCTTCCTTCATCACATACGACGTGGGCTATGACTGGTTCCCCACAATCAATGTTGTGCGTAGTTGGAAGCTGGTCGGGTCACAGTGGAGGTTCCAGCCGTCAAAGTCCCAACGGCCTTTCACAGGTTTCTTCACCACCGTTCATGCCATTGAATGGGAAAGAAAATGCGTGGGATCTGCTTTCCGCTGTTGCAGGGTAGGTTGTGAGGATGAAGATGAATAATGAGATGCCCCTGAACAATCAAGCACGTGGACTCCTCGGTTCGACGGAAGCCCTCTCTTGTTCTTGGCATTTTAAAGTATTTTTAATGACGCCTTGAGGCTTAATTAGAGGCATTTTTGTAACTTCATATGTTTACGATTGGATGTAGTGATTGATGGGAGGTTTTTGTTGAATTTTTTAAAAGTTGAAGAGAAATTTTTGCTAGGAAAAGTTTTTATAATTGTCAAAAACCCTTGGGAGGTTTTTAAATTTTATTCAAAAATAAATATAAAATAATTATATATTATTATTTATTTTTCACTTAATAAAGCCTTAAACCTATATAAAGTAGAAAAGATAATGAGAGTGTTTGGAATAGTGAGTGTTTAAATAACAAACGCGTTAAAATTATTTTTAAAACTTCCTTCAATGGTTAGATGTTTTTACGGTTATGTCGATGTAATGTTTATTGACACCTAATTATCACAAATGATTGTAATAATTATTACCTTTTTCGATTAGTAAACGAAACCGAACACATACAATGATTAATAAATATGCAGCTCTTGGCCTGCTTTGGGCTGATGTTTGGCATCGATGCCATTTTTTGAGAAAGTACCGTTTTCTGAGAAATTCTGAGAAAATGGCTCTTCTCTTAATGTTCGGCATTGATGCTGCCACATAGGCAAACAGAGGGAGCAAATAGACGCTGAAACAGGTAATAGTTTTTCAAACGACGCTCCAGCGGCGATGGTGTAGATCTCGTTGAAGAAGAAAATATAGGCGACTTTGTCACTTTGATGAGTTGATCATCTGATTTTACAGAAACCTGAAACCGGAGACGTTGGTGGTGTGCACATTAGTTCGGGAATCAAGGGGCAGGAGGAAATAGAAAACTGCTGACAAAAGGGGAAACAGAAAGAGAGATTCCCGCCATCTCTTTATTTCAACCGTTTTGCGGGTTATTTTCGTCGTCTTCTTTTTTTCCATTCTTCTTTAATGTTACGAGTCAATGTCGGTAGCTTGTCTTCCCTTCTGAGGAACTGTGCTTCTCCCTCTGTCATTCGCCAAGCTAAGCAAGCGCATGCCCAAGTCCTTGTCCATGGCTTCCTTCCCAACGTCACTCTTCAAACCGATCTCTTGTTAGTCTACTCAAAGTCTGGCCGCCTTGAAGATGCCCGATGTATCTTCGATGGAATGGTCGAAAGAAATATGTATTCGTGGAACATTTTGATCTCTTCGTATGTTCAAAACAGTCTCTACAATGAAGCTCTAAGTATTTTTAAAGGGTTTCTGAAGATGGGTCTTCGTCCAGATCACTTCACGTTTCCGTCTGCTTTTAAAGCGTGTGCAGGAACTGGGGATTTCTATTCAGGAAGGAAACTTCATGCGTTGGTAATCAGAGTTGGGCTTGAAGATCATGTTATTGTAAGGAGTTCAATATTGGACTTGTATGTAAAATGTGGGAATCTAATGGATGCACAGAGATTGTTTGTGAATATGTGTCAAAGGGATGTGGTTGTTTGGAATTGCATGATTTCAGGGTTTGGAAGGGCTGGGCTTTTTGTGGAAGCGTTGAACTATTTTAGGGAGATGCAGACGAAAGGAGTGAAGATGGATTCAAGGACAGTACCTAGCATTTTAAATGTCTATGGAAAGGAAGGTAATCTAATGAAGGGGAAAGAAATCCATGCGCAAGTTGTTAAGAATCCGATTTTTAGTGAAGACATTGCAATTGGAAATTCTTTGATTGACATGTATGCAAAGTGTGGGTGTTTAGATGGTTCACTAAAGGTTTTCAGGAGCATGCGTAATTTGAATCTGGTGACCTGGACAACAATGATATCTTCTTATGGGCTTCACGGGAAAGGTGAAGACTCTTTGGATCTTTTTGAGAAGATGTTGCTTAATGGATTTGAACCTAACGGTGTCACATTTACTGCACTTTTAGCTAGTTGTAGCCACTCCGGTCTTGTTAGTGAAGGCTGGAGGATTTTTTATTCAATGGGTTCAGATTATGGGGTTGAACCCACAGTAGAGCATTATGCTTGCATGGTGGACCTTTTAGGCCGTCTTGGGTATCTCAAGGAAGCACTAGACTTGATAAAAAGGATGCCTGAAGCTGCATCAGGGAGCACTTGGGGTGCTCTTCTTGGTGCTTGCAGGATGCATAAGAATGTGGAGATTGGTGAAATTGCAGCTTACCAGCTATTTGAATTGGAGACCAGGAATCCTAGTAATTATATTGCATTGTGCAGTATCTATGACTCTGTTGGCCGTCTGGATGATGTTCTAAAAATTAGATCAAGGATGAGAGAACTAGGTTTGACAAAATCACCTGGGTGCAGCTGGGTTACAATTGAAGGTAGAGTCCGCAGGTTCTACCAAGGTGATCTTTCACATAGATGGGTGAAAATCACATGTGAAACATTAGAAAGGATAATTAGGACAATGATGTTGCCCTTTCATTGTGGATAGCTATTAACTGTGTTAGGCATGCCTCATATTTTCAGTTGCATGAACAAGTTATTAGACAGTTGTATGCCCTTAGCTCCAATCAGAATGATGTACATTATGAATTTATTGTAAATGAATAAAGTACATATACGCCCTTACCTCCAATGAATAATGTACATTATGAATTTATTGTAAATGAATAAAGTACATATTTGATTAATGTTCCTGTGGTGTGTTTCTGTGTAATATCCTTAAACTGGACACTTATGAGACTCGTGTTAGTTTAGAACGCTCACAGCCGTTGGGTAAGTCTAGTGAGATTTTTCCTGTCAAGGCTGACATTGGTGTGCTGCCAAATGTTGGGGTGGTCTGTCTAAGCCGCCAGGGTGAGACCCAAGGCACATGCAGTGTAGCATTAATTGAATCTTTGAACTGAACCAGATTTCTAGTATTGCCCTGGACCTTGGAGATTGATGGACAAAACTGGAAAGTTACACCTGACCCCTAGACTCGATTATGATACTGTACTAGGTGTCGGATTGGACTGTCTTTGATATGCCAATCAGTGAGATCCTTAGCGGGGGTCAAAACCTGGGTATGTTGGGACAGTCCGAGAATT